CCTAAAATTCAAAATGTATCCTTGACCAAGGCCACACCATGCACTTTGTATCTCTGGTCCCCGTATATTCTTTCCTCTTTTGCAGCCTCATCCAGACCAGCTATTCCTCCCTCATCCTTTCCTCTGCTCAGCTAGCATTCCTGGGATGAGTGGAAGTAAAGGAAAAGTGATGTGTTCATCATCAAGCCACCTTTGCTTACCAGACAGAGCTCCCTGGACTTATATACCAACCCCCAATTCTTTGATATCTGTCGGAACAAATGTTACAGAGAAACAAACTGGTTATATGAAAGCTATCCCCTTTTTACCTAGTTAACAGAGGACATTCCCCAAATCACCGATTAAGGGTGTCCTTGATCATCTGGTCACATCCTGCAAGACCCAAGGTGCTATCTGAATGGCAGTGACGAAGTCTTTACTTTTAAGGCAGACCAATCTACTCTGAGATATACACTGAAAAAGTATGAGTCTTCTCCACAGGCCCTGGAGCTGGGACAATCCACAGTCCTTGGTCTGAAAGCTCAGGCAGGCAGAAACGGAGCTGACTCCAGGACTCAAGTAATCAAGGCTCTCTTCCCATCAGTCTCAGAGCGGGTGGTCACATCCACAGAAGCATTTTGGATTCTTGAGTTTCCTGCTCCTGAATGCTCTGGCAAGAGGCAGTCTCAAGTGTATCAGCCTTTGCTTATGATGGGAAGGGAGCTGATCCCATGGCCTGACATCAGAAACTACTTCTCCAGTGTCCCCATCACTGCCAGTCCTTATGACAGCCCCTTAAAAGGTATGGAACAGTCACTTTAAAGATTCTTTTTATTGACATGCACAACCTTCCTCCTATAAAGGAAATCAGGAAGAATATATTCCTCCTATTCAATCAAGATGATTATAGACACGCTGCAGTGTTTTCCTTTCTTTTGTTTAAACCCCATCCTTTCTATCAACTCTAATGTGGTTGTTCATTTAGGGTTTTGAATGTGCTTTCTTGTGCCTATGCCACATTCCAGGGAGTATAAGTCGACATTTAGGTCACACAGAATTTTTCTTCTCTAGAAGTCCACATACTGACTAATACCCACTGCAGAAACGAGTCCTTCACCTGCAGCTGTCATGGCTGAAGCGGCAGATACATTCCCCAGACTGTAGTGGCAACCCTATCCTCACCCTCTCTTTGAAAACAGCATTCCTGAGACACTGATGTGCCTGTATCCTTCCAGTGGCAGCTGACACTCTCCCAACCCAGTCCTCGCCCACCCCCCACACACACCCAAGGCTGGCTAATGACTACATCTTAGGGCATGCGGGCTGCAGTGACTCCCATCCATTAGCAGCTGTTTGAATTGCATCAGCTGGTGGGGTCCGGGCAGTGGGAAGGGCTCAGTAGCCTGTCCACCCTGGCTTCCTGCCAGCCAGAGCCTCAGGGTTCTGATCCTCATTGACTACACTTTTGCCCCAAAGTACTTGGGAACTTGGACAATTTACTGCCATCATGAGGTTGTCTTGGCCTGAACACTTCTTCAAGCTGACCACTCTGAAATTGGAGGACATATCCTAAATAACAGCCTAAGGCAGGGAGCCTGAATTCCCTACCCTTCTTCAATTTCTCTTACCATAGAAATGATACAAGTAAGAATGACGAAGACAGTGTCGTAGAAATGGTGTAACTAAAAAAGGAAAGCATGGCTACAACTTACAGACTGACCTGCAACTACAGGATGTGATCCCTGTCCGTATTTCAGCTTTTAAAGGGCAGGTGGGAGAAAAGCCAGGTGGACATGGCAGAAGAAAAAGAAAATGTGTTTTCATTCTCATTTCTAGCTCTAGCAGTGGCTGTCCAGATCAGAAACACAGCTAGGTCCTCACATCAGGGAAGTGGAGCCAGGTGAAAGGCATCTCCCTTTGATAACAATCTCTACTGCCTCACTGCTTACTCTACTGTCTTGATGGTTTTTAACAATCATTGTGTCAGTTTCCTATTTGTCATTCCGAATTTGTTAAGAAGGTACTATTTCTGGAAACAGTGCTTGGAAGGAGTGACTACCCGCCTTGCTGCCCTCCAGCTTCAGCTAAGGGCTTTTACAAAGAAGTTCCATGCACCCAAGCCTGTCCTACCCAGGCAGAAGGCAGGACCCATTTGAGTGCCAGGAGGTAGTAATCTCTGTGAAGCCACACTTGGGGTTTATTTTAGCCATTGCTGAGAAACACAGTGTGTTCTTGGGAATGAAGGGTGGGTATTAGAAGGGGAGGTTTAGGAAAAAGGGAGATAAGATTATGTCAATGTATCTCCCTTAGTTTAAGGACTAGCAGGACCAGCCTGGGATGAAAACTAGAACTGAGAGAGGACTTCCCCAGTTTCAACCAAAAAAAGCTCCGAACTACCTGATAACAATTAACAAACATCCCTTCCCCTTCAAAGATTTCTGCTCAACACAGGGCCAGGCCTAGAATAGGACAGCTCCTTCTCTACTCACAATGACAGATGAATAATAAATGCCCCTAGCTGGAAAAAAAGACACACAAAAAATGTCTCCAAAGTTTCGATTACTGGAGTTACTCCATTTAGCAACTGAAAATTCCTCTTGTCTATTGGAATTAGCTAGCTCCAGTGATGATGAAGTTTTGTTAAGGAAGACTTTAGAAGGAACACTGACTAATGTCCACGAATGTCCACTATACATCATGCCTATAGAATATCAAAGCAAGAAGTCAGGTATATAGGCAAAAACCTGCATATTAGACTTTTTTAAGGTAGTTTAACAGACCAAAAAATTATCCAAGAAACTGAAAAACTCTTTTGCTACATATGAGCAAATGTAAATCTTTATTAACTTCTGATGGAAAACCGCTTAAACATAACACCTAAACTCTATCTAATTCTGGTCTAATAAGGTGTAAGTGAAAACCAGCATGATAATTTTCTTCTCCTTAAAATATTTTCCAAAGGATTAGCCTAAGTTTTAAAAATCCTACCATTTTATTGTGAATACACATCTCACAAATGAATGCCATAATTATTGATTTAGCTTTTTTCTGCTAAACAAAGACTATCTATCCTCTAAAGCAAAAGCTTATCTGCTATTATAGTTGAATGTTGGATGTTAAGTAAAAATTTTATTTATCTAGAAAATGTAATCTTTCAAAGGAAATGTGACACTAAAAGTGACTGAAATACCTTTTCTGTGTCTGAACACAAGAGGCTAATCTGATCTCTAACAGTAAACCTATTCCAAGAAAAAATTAAATTAGTTGTAATTATTCTGGCAAAAGCAGGAAACTAGGAACAGTATTTCAAACCACTTCTTTTTCTTTTTCTTTCTTTTTTTAATGATGTAGAGCATTTGCTCTCTAATGAAGGGACTTGGTAAATAAACAAACCCACTACTTTCAACTGATTGCCCTGGAACAGGGAACTTTTCCATTCGAGCAATTGCTCTTCAGAAATAAGAAAAACTTCTTACTTACACCAGACCCCACAATCTAAGTACTTATTGTAAAAATAAATGTTATGGCAATGGAGCAGAGGTGCAGTCTAAAATTGTGTTATCATTGATTGCCATTCATTTTCATCTACACAAAAAGAAAAACTGACTTTCCTTTTTGATCATTTCTCACTCATTCTTAGGTGAAGAACGAAAAGTGCACTTACACTACCAGAAATGCAAGTGAGTTTCTGCAGTCAGTATTTTCCTTCATGTGCTCAAGTAAAACTAAAAGTATTAAATACAGAAATGATCACAAACATTTTCAGTTCTGAAATGCCCACAAATGTTCAACAATTTGGGAGGCTTAAGGTAAAAAACAAAGTACTTCTATTAGCATTAATCAACTTGAAGGGTCCTTTTAAAGATACTTACAGTTAAATCATTGTAAGAATCACACTTCAATTTGTCCTCCCTTTGTTGTTTGAGGGTTAATGAGTTTACAGTAATAACCCTGCAAATATCCTGCCCTGTGATTAAGACATCACCTTAATGCAGGCTTCACATTCTGGCTTCTCTGAAGGTTTAAAGGTTAAAGGCATCATAAACTATGCATTTCTTCATATGCCAGACCCATAAAAAATGCTTTCACTGTTCATTAAATATATTGCTCCCAAATGGACAGAGTCTTTTTTCCTGAGCGCCAAAACAGAAACCCTTCCATTATATTTATTACTGCTATGCTATATTTTGGAAAGCCAAACAATTTGGGATTGGGAAACTGCTAGATCTGTTTTTCTAGAATGTGCAGCAACTGTGAACATACACAGAGAAATTACAGTTCACTCTTTGGACAGCCATACAGTTAAACACACCCAGCCAACAAGCTGGTGTCCTCCCGGAAGAACAATAGTCTGGCAGATCTCACATCATTAGCAACAGTTGGGGCTTTCCCCTTCTGCCTCTGCCTCAAGTTACAGATCTGAGTAGGGACCAGAGAGACACACAGTTCCCACTAAAATACCCCTACCTCCTGCCAAGGAGCAAGCTCTGTGTGAGGGATGCTTGGGTAAACCGCATTCACACATGACCTTCCTAGTCAGCACCCTGCCTTCCTCACATTTTGCCACCACCTTCAGCGGATGTACAGTTCTAAAGGATTCTTTTTTTCCTTTTCCACCTACATATAGTGTATCTGCAGAAGGCTGGGCTCTTGTTCACAAGGAGCACCACACCCATTCATCCATCCTCCAGCCTTTGGAAGCAAATTGCAGAGTTGGCTAGATCCGCCTGCCTCCAACCTCAAGCCAAAGGGACCAAAGCTGGGCACACAGGACCCAACTTCACCCAGGCCAGGCCCACCCCAGCTCAGCACTTTGGCGGTGGGGAAGGATTCTGGAGGCAGACTGCCTGCTGTAAGGACCAGAGTTTCAGAGATTCTTTCTCGGGGACAGCCCGAACACCCTGACAACTAAGTAGCAAAGTTGCTTCTGTCTCTGCTGCAATGTCCTTTCCTCTCCATTAGCACACGCACACAGCTCGCACACACGCAAGCAAGCACACAACCTTGCCCCCTCAACTTACCAGTTTAGACTGGGCGCGTTGCAAAAATTCTTCCATGTCGTTGCGAGAGATTTGAGCAGGGGTACCCGAGGGGCGCCGAGTAAGATCTCCGCCCAGGGGAGAGGAGCCAAGTCTCGGGAAAGTAGCAGGTTGGGCGCAGCGACCGGCGGCTCCCTCCTGCCGCTCGGAGGCGGCTGAGGCTGTGGCTGCGCCCTCGCCTGTCGCGTCCCAGGGCTCCCCGCCCCACCCCCGCGCCCCGCCGTACGCTCTGGACGCCGGGCTCTGCCCTAATAAGGAAAGTGGGTGTGCCGCCCGGGAGCCCCAGGGCGCGGCCCGCACGCTGGCTGGCACGCGCCTGCCGGGCCGGAGCTGGCGGTGGGGCGGGGGCGGGGGCGTTGGGATGGCGAGGGGCTTCTCCGCCAATCGCAGGGCCCCGCTGCGGCCTCCTGACGTGGCGCGCCGAAAGATGCTGCAACCATGGACAGCGCCCAGAAGTGCGAGCCAAGTGCAAGGGGCTGCTGCAGAGCCAGGCTCTGCCGCAGGCACCGCTGCTGTCGGCCAGGGCGGGGTGGCAAGAAGGGAAAGAGGCCCCCGGAGAGCCCCCTCCTCGACCAGCGCCTCCCTGACTGGCTGGCACGTTAGAGAGAGCTTCCGCAGTCACTTAATAGGCTGGGTCTGCCGGCCTGGCCAGGGAATGCACTCAGCTAGATTTGGGGTGAGGGGTTATTGCTGAGCTAAAAGCAGTACGACCTTGATGGAAAGCAATCAGAAGAACAGGCTGGGAGGTTCTGATAGGCTGCATCTTTCCTTCTTACTTTCAACACATACCCATCCAGCAACCGGCATCCGCAGTTCACCCCAACTGAGCGCCCTTAGGGGGGGTCCTGGGCTGATGCATAGGTACATCCTTCTGCAGTCCCCAACCACTGTCAGGTATGTATACTCAAGTGGAGCTGGGGCAATATAACCTTCCTGCTGCATAAGGGTGGGGGCTTCTACAAGATCCTCAGATAATTTCTATTACACTGAAGTTTAAGAAGTACTGCAATAAACACTTACATTTATAGCTGTGAACTTTACCTTAAGCCAAGGAGTTTTGTTGAGTTACTCTCTAGCCTTACCAGACCCCGGACCTCAGACTTTCTCTTACATCTGAGCTGTGATACCCCTCCTGCCCTTTCACTAACCTCCACTGCCTGGCTAACTCATGCTTCAGCTCTCAGCTTAGAGGAGGGGTCTCAACCTGGACCGCACATCAAAATCACATTATAATCACTTGGGCTTTAAAATACTGATCCCCTGATTCTATCCCTGACCAAATGGATCAGTATCTCTGGCGTTGGACCACGGCATCAATCTGGTGTGAAAGTGCTCCAGGTGAGGCTGGTGTGTAGCCCAGGTACGATCCTCTGGTTCTCAAACTTTCCAATGTATCCAAATCACTTGTAAACTTACTAAAATACAGGTTCCAGTGCCTCATCTCCAGAATTCAGGCTTACTGGGTCTGAGAATTCCCTTTTTAAACACTCTTTCAGGGTTTGCAGATGCTGCTAAGAAGTTATCTTCCTCCAGGAAGTCTCCCCCGACTTACTCTTTTTCTACTTCCAGACTGAATCAGTTGCCCCTTTCATATCCTGTCATAGCAACCTATATTTTCTACTCTATTGTAAATTGCCTGATTATTTTCTGTGTTCTCCACCAGGCTGTGAGCTCAATGGGAACAAAGACCTGGCTGGTCTTATTCAGTGATGTACTCCTAACATAGTTGATGCCATATACAGATCCTCAATAAATATATTTTAATGAGTAGATGTACATAGAGAAGGGTTTTTGTACTCTCTGTGTGTGCATGTGTGTGTATGTGTAATTATTCAGTTATTTTTTATTCAGGAGGACCTAGTGAAAAAAATCAGCAGAGTCTATGGATCTGATTAAAGTAAGCTGATAGGAATATTAAGCTGCAGTTCACATTCAGGTGATGAGCTGTATGAAAGCTGCAGATTCTATCTGTTTCTTTGCTGACTTAAGCAATTAAAAACCATCCAGGTAAAACAAGTGTTTTATCAGCTTTTAAGCCTGTGAAGTTGGTCACAATTCAAGTAACATTTCAGAGAAAACTCCCAAGATTTCCTTGCCTCTGATGCCATTGGAGAATTTGGTGACAATCAGATAATAGTTTTATCCCTTTCACTTCTGATTTTAAACATTCTGGGTAAGTATGATATAGCCTTAATATTAAAAAATATATTTCTGATGGACTCAAATTCCAATCTACCTCCCAGAGGTTTTCTCCACCAACAATGTTTCTGCAAAAGTTAATCAAATCTACCTCCTCCAGGAAGCCTTTCTGAAATGACCACTGAAGCTGCTCTAACACATTACCACAAACTTGGTGACTTAAAGCAACCCAAATTCATTATCTTATGGTTGGTTCTGTAGGTCAGAAGTCCAACATAGGTCTCACCAGGCTAAAGGTGTCAACAGAGCTGCATTCCTTTCTGGAAGCTTAGGGAAGAATCCATTTTTTTTTTTTTTTGCCTTTTCCAGCTTCTAGGAGCCTCCTACATTCCTTGATTCATGGCACCTTCCTCCACTTTCCACCTTCAAAGCCAACAATGTTGTATCTCTCTGACTATTCTTCCAGAGTCCCGTCTCCCTCTGACTCATCTACTTTCCTCTTCCACTTTTTAAGGACCCTTGTGACTACATTGAACCTATTTGCATACTCCTGGATAATCTCCCCACCTTAGATCTATTGATTAGCAACCATAATTCTCTTTTGCTATATAACCTAACATATTCACAGGTTCTAAGGATTAGGACATGGACATTGAGAAGCCATTGTTCTACATAGCATATAACTGATACCCTACATCATTTGGTAGTTCAATATCCTGCTTGGACTAACAGAACTGCTTAGAAAAGAAGCAGAGCCAGGACTGGAATTCACCTCCCTGTCATTCATTCCTTCAGCATTTATGAATCACTGATTACACTCAGATAGGCATCCTGCCTAACCCAAGATGTATAGGGCAAGATCCCTCCCTCACGTAGCTCATGGAGCTCTTAGTCTAGTTACTATGATACAAGGAGATAAATGCAGTTATTGAGAAATGCACCTGATATTGTACTAGTTGAGATGCAATATGGTGTCATGACTATAATTGGGGTTCCCATTCTTGCTGAGGTAGATTAAACATGGCTGCAAATTATTTAACACTCTTTTCAATGAGAGGCCAGGTCTACCTTTCCTCTCCATTAATCTATATGAGTCCCATGACTTCCTAAACAATAAAATACAGCAGAAGCCACACCATGACAGTTTCTGGGATCAGGCTTTAAGGGATTGGCAGGCTCTACTTCTTGTCTTTTGGAATTCTTGGAAGCTAGCCAGCATGTGATGAGGAAGCGCAAGCACCTACATGGAGAGAGCCACATGGAGAAGAACTAAGAACTCTGGCTAACAGCCCAGTTACCAGCCATGTGGATGGACCATCTTAGAAAGAGATTCTCTGACACCAGTCAAGCCACCCTAGCTGATGGCATGTGGAACAGAATTAAATTCTCTTTGCTGAGCCCTGCCTAAATTCCTGACCCACAAAATTGTGTGGTATACAATGAAACAACTGTTACTATAAGCCATTAGATTTCTGGGTAATTTGTTATATATCAATAGATAATCAGAACACCTGGCCATTTTCAGTCTCAGTAAGTTTGGGCAAGTTATCCTCTCTAAGCTTCAACATCTTCATCTGTAAAATAGGAATAATTGTTCCTCTTAGGGTAGTTGTCCAAGTTAAATGCAATAATACATGCAAAGTGCCCAAATGCTGGCCCATGGCTGCCATTATTGTTATTACAAAGGGTCTGTCAAGGAGAGCAGAAACATATTGCTGCAGCTAGAAGTGGAAACAAAGGTCTCTACAGAGAGAACCCAACAGAGAAGAATGTCTGGGTCAATTATGGATGGATCAGCAGTCAGTAAAAATGTGAAATTGCTATATTATATTATAGAATATATATTACAATAGATAATATAATTTGTGTCTATACTATATCAAGTATGCATGCTTTGGAACCTGGGCTTCATACGATGAGATGTCTGTTTCAGGAAAGGGCACTGCAGACACTCCAGCTAGCAATATTTCTCAGCAATAACATGTCTGACTGCCTATTCATTACTCATGAAAGGTAAGTTTCTTATGGCAAGGTTTGTGCACATGATGGTCCCAAATTACCACTGCCTGACCCCATATGGTACTGGGTCTTTCCTTTTCAGGTTCTTGTAGAAACACCCCAGCACTGCTTCCATGCCGGGGCTCTTTTTGCAGTCAGTGCCATGATGAGGGCATCTCAGGTTTTCTGTAACAGAGCCAGCTTGCCTGGAGCTCAGACCAGCATACCACAAAACTTGCACTTAACAGCTGGCTGTGTGCTTTCGGGCAAGTTCATTGACCTCTCTGATCATCAATCTCCTCATCTGTGAAATGGAGAAAATAATGGCTGCCTAGTTACTTCAAAGGATTATAAAAAATCAGATGCTAATATCCCTATACATATTGGAAAATAGTAACAATGGAAGGGGGAATAATAAGGAGAGCTTTTTATTTGGTAAAAAAAATACCTGACCAAAACCGTCCTTTCAGAAATGTCATGTTGCTGGCATGGAAGCTGCTGACTCACCCTTTGGGCACATTTCCACGCTAGCTTTCATACTGACCAACCACACTTCTGACAGGTGGAGTCTTCTTGCTGCTTTTATATGTTTACATAAAATATATTTTACTTTGTGTTATATTTGCTGCTTTTAAATTATTTCATGTGACAAGATGTTCAAGAAACCGTGCCTCTCACCTGGACTGGATTTAAAAGCATTTCAAGCTTGTTTGAAGACAAGAGACTGAAGACTGATTAATGTGCATTAACTGTTAACTAATATGTACTAACTAGTGTCCCTCATTTAGCTTTTAAGCAACTATTATATGCCTGCTTTTCTCCCAGTGGATGATCAAATACCACCCATTGTGGCAAGTAATATCAAAAGGAATTCATTGTTTTCTTACATGTTTTGGCAGGAATGTCCACATTTTTTAGGATAGGCTTTGGAAGCCTTGTTTAAAAAGGAGTTTGTATAGCCACAATCCTCTCTGACCTTCTGTTAAGAAAGAAAAAGAGGGGTTACTGGAATTGTCAGTGGCTGTAGTAGCAAGTGGCAGGGCCTAGATTGCTGGGAGAATGTTCTGAGAGTAGAATGTCTGGCTTTGAATAGGGCACATACACTTGCGTCATTTCTGGGAACTGCAGACATCTTGCAGAACAATGAATTTAATTTGAAAGGACAGCAGAGGAGAGAAGTGCTCTGGATCTATGAGTCATCAGGATAATGAGGCAGTGGCCTGCCTCAGGTCTGCAGCCTGCTTAAAGATGAGGAGTGATGGTCTTAATGTCTCCGCTTCCTTTCGAACTACCCTGCTCAAAGTGGTTGGTTCAAGTTCTACACACTCTCCTCACACAGGAAGGTCCCTTCAAAACAATACTGCATGTTTCAGAGTTATAGCATAAATTTCAATTTATGGCCCCATCATGCATTTCCATTGGGAAAGTATTTTGCAGGGGAAGTGGAATACTAGTTAGTGCCAAGTCTTGGGAGTCTATCTCTTATCCTTGCCACAAACCTCCAAGATCCAGAACAACAGAGACGACACCTGGTTCCATTTCAGAGACAGCAAGACTGAGGCCCCAAATTGGTTATTGACATGCCCAAAAATTGAAATCTTGGATTTAAAATTCCACTGTATTAAAAATTCCATTAAAAAGTCCAATGATTATTGAGCACAAAATACCAT